AATTCTTTGTATAAAGTCCAGTATTCACCTTCATTTTTCCTTTCTATTAGCATTGGATGTGCTTCAAATTTTCCTTTTGCTACAGTTTTTCTTTCTTCATCGTTAAGTAGAAGAACAATTGCACATATTTTTTGTCGGGAAAAGCGAGATCACATCTTCACCGAAACAAACTGAAATGTTCTATGTATGAAAATGTGAACGTGCAGTCCGATTTCTGGACTGGAAACGCTACGTGCCGGAAATTATACGTGCATGATAATAAGAGATTTATTTATTAAGAGTATCTCGTCTTCAATTCGTTAATGTATAATTCTTTTCTCCAGCTTTACGTTCAAGATTTTTCTTGTTGACTTCTTGTAAGTATCGTGATATCGATATCAAGGCACGGGTGTTTTCTATGACAAATAAGCCATTACTGAGAAAGTATAATTGTGCAGACTCTTAAAAGTCTTGATAATTTCGAAATAGCGCGAAGACAAAGGGTCTGGATGGGATTTGGTAATTCGCGAGGTCTAATGGCAAATGAAAGTGATTAAATGTAGCGTGACTGGATTCAAACGAAATTATTACAGATCCATTTGTGTTTCGATTTCCATCGCATTTAATTGAAATTTCACGTCGGCCAAGGTTAATAGGTTAAAGTCATAGTCATTTAAGATTTTTGAAGGAAACTCAAGTTGCACCATATGTTCTCGCCTACAAAAGTGAAATGAAAATAGATTTTTGACTTTGAAACTAGTGTTAATGAATAAATTTAAGCTCAAAAAGTAATAAGCAAGGCACAACACTTATGAGGGAGTGAGCAAAAGTAATTTTGACAGGTTTATCAAATTATGTAATCAGGAAGATTGGAATAATATTTTTTGCTCTCCTGATTTGCTTCATCAATTTCATCACACTCTCATGAAGATTTTCAATTTAGCATTTCAAAAAAGAGTTCTTAAATCAAACAGTAAAAAAACTTGGGTTACTAAAGGAATTAGAATTACCTGCAAAAACTTAAGATCGTTAAATTACATTGAAAAACATAATATGCAATGATAAATTGTTGATATATTTCTATAAACTTAAATAACGATTATGTTGCTGCCGCAGTTTTCTGTGATCTATCTTAAGCCTTTGACTGTGTCAATCACAAAATACTACTTAATAAACTGGAAAGATATGGTTTTAGAGGCACTGCTCTAAAGTGATTCAGTTCATACTTGGAAGACAGATGCCAGTCTGTATCAATCAATGACCTCTACTCTAGTAATATCTTTATTAATTGTGAAGTACTTCAAGGCTCTGTCTTGGGTCCTATCTTTTTCTTGATATATTTTAACGATAGAACTAACCTCGACATTAATGGCCGGTTTACTATATTTGCAGATGACACCACAATTTTATGGCAAAACAAGGACTCTACGGTACTGAACAAGACTATTAATAGTGATATGCAAAAAATTTTAGAGTGGTGCAAAGCTAATCATTTGATATTAAATTTTTCAAAAACTAAATTAATTTCTTTTAAGAATGATCTAAACAACATTACTCTGGGCAATGAAGGCATTTGTTCTAATACTGTAAACAAATTTTTAGGTCTCTATATTGATAATAAACTTAAATTTGAGCAACACACTGTATATTTAAGCAAAAAGATATCATCGGGTTGCTTTGCGGTCAAATCTGTTGCTCACCATTTAGATTTCAAGATTGCAAAAAGTGTTTATGTGGCCCTGATTGAATCTAATTTGAGATACGGTATTGCCTTTTGGGGTAGCTGTTCTCTTCATCATTTCAGTAGAAACTTTATGCTACAACAGAGAGCACTCAGATATGTATGCAAGGTCAAGTTTGGTACATCATGCAGGCCTCTGTTCCGGAAACATGGTATCTTGACACTTCCTTGCATATATCCTTGAATTAGCGTGCTTAATTTTTAAAAAACATAAAGAGGATATTCGGACAGTTTCCCCTTATAATACTCGTCTAAATTATGTTATTCCACTTCCAATTCTCTCTTCTACATTAACTAAAAAATCATTTATTTACACTGGTAAGAAAGTGTTTAATCACCTACCACTCGATATAAGATCCTCAAGCAATATTTTTGGATTCCGAAGAGCAATCAAGAAGTTTTTATTAACTAAATGTTATTATAGTATAGAGGAATTTTTTGAGGACAGTTGTGCTAATTGATATATATTTTTTAATTATGGAAATTGTATAATTAGTATTTTAATATATCTTGTACCTTGTTTGTACTATACCATGCTGTGTTTTATAAATGTTTACTCATTTTAAAAACAATAAACTTCTCTCTCTCTGTCTGTCTCTCTCTCTCTCTCTCTCTCTCTCTTTCTCTCGCTCTCTCTGTATGTATCAACATCTGCGTTATAAAGTTAATTCCGGTTTATAAAAATAACTGTGACCTCATAATTTCCCTAAAAAACGATTAACAAAGTTGACACATAAAACACATCTTTCTTCTTTTTCTTTATTTAGACATTTTATCTGATTTTTGAGTTGTTAATGGCTTTTTTATTATGAATCCAGTCCAATTATATCCTTATTAAAGAGTTTGACAATATGTTTATCCTTGGAACTAAAGTAGAGATAATGCTATTTTAAATAAAACAATTTTAAAGCATCATAACTCTGTTAGACATTTATCCAAATCAAGGGTAAATACTCATTTATAAATATCCTACCCACTGAGTATTTCCCTTCAAACATCACTTGTCCAGTGTCCGTTTCATCAGTTTTTTTTTTAATGAACGATATCTGCTTCAATAGTATTCTATCTTTATTTATAACCACGCGCCAAACGGTTCCAGTGAGCTCTGTTCTGCCATATGATCACTACCCAATTATTTATTTCTTTTTTACTGTCCAGATTTCAGTGTTTTGCCGAATGCGAGATTTTTTAGCGCGACCTTACTATTTAAAATCTGCTAGATAATGTAAGACTTTGGTTGTCATCCTTTAAAACTATATTGTCCAGCATGAATAAATGTTAATTACAGTAACACCTCCCTTAACCGAAACCTTTTTAACCGAAACATCGTTTAACCGAAACGGCTGACAGTTTCAATAATTTCGTCAATAAAAAGTAAATTTTTATTGCAAAACGTAAACAATTCCAATAATTTCACTCACAGATGATGATGCCTATGTGTGTTGGGAAATCATAAAAACCAAGAGCTCTAAAAGATATTAAAGAAAAATCACTTCTAGTTTTTATAGAAGCCAAAAAAACTCATGGATGTCGACCACTTTATTTTCAGAATGGTTCGAAAATGAATTCGTCCCAAGTGTAAAATCCTTTTTAAAATAAAACAAACCTTCCCATCACAGCATTTTGCTTTTTGACAATGCGGCAACTCACCATCCAAATCTACACAATCGTGATAATTGTCCGATTTTTGCCACCGAATGTCACGAGCTTAATTCAGCTGTTAGACCAGGGAGTAATAGAGACATTCAAGAGACATTTTAGAGGAGCATTTTTAAGATATATGTTATTACAGTGTGTTATTACAATGCAACATGTTGTTTATGGAAAAATGCTGGAAAAACTTTGGAAAAATGCTGGAACTAACTTTTTGATGGGATTTTGATTGACGATCTTGAAGAAGAAAATGGTAAAGAAATGACAGAAAAATTAAACCTTTAACAAAAAATTTGCTGGGATGTGACGAAATTAACTAAGAAGAGATATGTGAGTGGTTAGCAGCCGATGACTCAAAAAGTGAATTCATCAACCAGGACTTCATTGATATGGTTCTTTATCCAGACAACCTGAGCGTATCAGACGACGAAGATGACGACCCGACAGACAACAGGCAGCATATGACCGCCGACGAGATTTTCAATGCCTTAAGGATAAGAATTTTATACAGTAGACCTAATTAGTTAGAGACACGACTAGGTTCTTAATTTTTGTTGTCATTATATAAAGTTTTGTCCTTTTCAGATTGCTTTACGTTTCGTCGAACGATGAAATGAGGCAAACTCACGACGCGACATTCTGCAAATGAACGATGGAGATATATAGCTGTAAAACATCGTTGTCAAACGATAACGCAAAAGAAAAGAGAAGATTTCTTTAAAAAAGCATGTTAAACTAGTTCATTTTCCTTAATTTTATTACTTTATTCTGTATTTACTTACTAGACAACATTACGAAATCACCTCATAGTATTTTTTAATACCAATACTTTAACCAAGAGTACTATAAAAAAACAATGATATTTTCAACCGAAATTCTTGTTAACCGAAACGGCCTCCCCCCCAATTATTTCGGTTAACGGAGGTTTTACTGTATTAATAATAAATTATAATTAAAGTGTATTTTAATAATACACAAACTTTTGAAATGTCGATATTTTATTACATATTTTGTTTTAGGTTTGCGAGGAAACCTTAGCTGCCCATACCAAACGTCTAGCGAAACTTCAACAACTGGTGTCCGGAATAGCATCCGCAGTTGGACTAGACGCCAATGCACTTCTCGGTGGAGAGGTCGAAGCTCTAGGAAAACGCCTTGAAGATGTCAGGGAGTCGCTCACAGCCCTCGCAGACGTCGCAGAATCCAAAGCGAAGATCAAGAAGGATAACCAGAAGGAAATTAATGGAACCAAAGATTATTTGGATTCTGTTCAAAAGGTAGGTTATTCTTTATTATTTCGCCAGTTAAATTTTATTTATATATTATATATTTCTTATAGAGTATCACCAATATTGACAACAATGGTGTAGATTCGGACAATGAAGAAAAGCTGCTGGTCTTGAGGGACCACCTATTAGCTCTTAGCAAAGCCGAAGGACAAATCCAGAAGCTCAAAGACAAAACAATTGAAATTTCGACCACAAAAACCGAAACATCAGTAATAGAAATTCTTGAATTATGGCAGCAAGTTTTCAGAGAAACCTTTCAACAATATCATCGTTTGAGTACCAGATTGGTTAAAAACGAAGACGGTGCAGCTGCTCTCAAATTATGGCAAGAATATTTAATGAATGTACAGCAGTTCTTGCAAGGAACTATTCCTGGAGATTACCACAGTCTTTCAGACCATCAACACCTTTGTCAAATACACCAGAATTTGCTAACGACTCAGCAAAATGTTTTACAACCGGCTGGTAAAGGTGATCAGTTAGCTAGTGGATTAGTAGAATCAAGTGTAATGGAACAATTTAACTCTTTAACGAATCTTCACAATGAGACGCTTTCCAGAATCTTAGACAGACACGCCGAAGTTCAGAATCGTTTGGATGCTTGGGAAAAGTACAACGGCGATCAGAATAAGCTTCTGAATTGGCTTAAAGGTATCGAAAAAGAAAGGGAACGCATGCAACTCCGATACATGCACATTAGACGAATTCCTAAACTACTTTCTAGAATCCAGAACCTCTTGGACAAAGTTCCACAAGGCGAAGACCAGGCTGATGATTTGCAACGACAACAAAATCAGTTGTTGCAATTCTGCGATGATGCTTTAGCTACTTCTATTAGAATGGAACACGTTGCTATAAAACAACGTCTTTCCAATCTGCAAGCTGGCTTAGATACTTGGAAACAATTCTTAGATAGAATAACTATTTTAGTTAAAACATACGAGGACACTGTCTTTAGAATACAGAAAGAGTTTGATGAAATACAAGAGATTATTAATGAAACCGTATTGCACCAGCAAACATCCCATTCTGTACTTAGTAATAAACTGGATATTCTTCGTAATACTAAAGATCGTCTAACTGCTACTAGTAATACGTTACAACAACTCAGCCAAATGCAAGAACAGCTTAAAGAATGTCTCAGTCCTTCAGATATGAAAACTATTAACCAGAAAATGTGGTTGTTGCGTCACCAACACGACGATCTGGAGCACCAACTAGCTAATCTTTGCCTTCAATTAGAAGAAAAACTAGGTATTAGGTCCATGTTCGAAGCCAGACATACCAAGTTCATAACATGGGTTAACGACGTAGAAAAAAGACTGAACCAAGATTATGATATGAACCAAACATTACTAGAACCCAAAGAATTGTTGAGGAAACTAGAAACTGAACTTCAAGCTGAGATGGCGCTCAAAGAAAGAGAATACAACTGGTTGGTGAAAACTGGTAAAGATATATACGAATCATGCGGTGAAGAATATGCCGATGTAACAGCAAAACAAATAATTCAGACGCGCACAGAGGAAGTCGTAGATGAATGGGATAGGTTAGACCAAATCGGCAAAAGTAGGTTCAACAAAATAAACGACTTAATGCAAACTATTTTCCAACTGGAAGAAAGAATTGCCGAAATTAGAGCCTGGTTAACTCAAATTGAGATCCAGTTAGCAAAACCGCTGGTATTCGAAGGCTGTACCCAAGAAGTTATAGACCGAAAGCTGCAAGAGCATGACAAACTGAAAAAGTCCATAGAAAACAAAAGCGGTAACATTAGCGAAGTACTTAACCTGTGTGATTTAGTATTAAACGATCCCGATATAAACAAGGCTAATTTCTCCACAGAAAATATCAGTAATGCTGTAGTTAACATCGAAAAACGTTGGAAGATTGTTTGTGGTCAGTCAGCCGAACGAAAACGTAAAATAAATCTCATATGGAAACTACTCCAAGAAGTTACTAAGCTCAGTGAAAGAGACGAACGTTGGGTCTCCGAGAAAGAAAAAGCTTTAAATAATTTAGATAAGCCTACAAGTTCCTTAGGCAAAGACGAAATCCAGAAACTCATCTACGAAGTTGAGACAGAAATTAAAGATATTGAATCTCACGAACCTGCATTCCAGATCCTAAGCCAAACATACTCTAAACTTAACACAGCGCCAGGTATAGAGCCGAAAAATATTCAAGAACTAACATCCAGAACCAGAGTGATCATCGTAAGGTGGGAAAACTTACTGCCCAAGGCGAGAGCTATCCTGAACCAACTCCAAACTGAACTAGCACCGTTTAGAGAATTTTCTGTAGCTCATGAAGATGCTATAGTTGGTCTTACTAAACTAGACGCACAAGTAACTGAGTTACAACACTTACTTCCTGAAAAAGTATCGCCTCAAGAAAGACTTAAGAAACTTAACGAGATCGAAAAACAACTGACGCTACAGACGCCCAATTTGGAAAACGCTGATAAACTTGGGTTGCAAATAATGAAGAAGAGTACAACAAAAGAGGTGGAGCTTATTCAAGAAATGATTGACGAGTACCAGATTCTGTGTAGAAACTTGCATGAACGAATCACTTATATAAAGACTGAAATAGAAACTATAATTATAGAAAGTAGACCTCAAGAAGTAGATGAAAGTGTTCAAGTTGAAACACTCAAGTTCGAACGTGATTCTGCTGTACAAGTCAATACCTTACCACCACAATTACAAAAGATGACTTCCATTAGCGCCAAAGACGCGTATTTAGTAGAGCTAGAAGCTGCTTTGGAAGAATGCAAAGCTAACTTGCGACAACTAGAGGAAAACGTTAATAAAGAAATACCTAAACAGGGTTCTGCCGAACTGCCAACCAGTAGCAAGAAAATAGCGAATATGTCGGCAAGTTGTTTAACCAGTACTGAATTGATCAAACATCTTCACGACCTTCTAATTAACGAGTGTGAAGCTACTGATATTGAAGCTTACTCCGAAGAGGTCATCGAGCTTTTGGAACGATTTAGGATTCTGCTGGTCAGGGCTAAAGACAAAGAACAAAAACTACGAGAACTTAGGTGAGTTATTTTTCGTTTGAACCTTTAGCTATCTTTTCTATTTCTTTTTTAATACTAACGTTAACTGGTTGTGGTTTTTTTCCTTAGAACTGCTGCCTGCGATGCTTATAACCTTTTATGCACACAGTAAGTAATTGTAATTTAGACACAGCTAACTTTCTAAACCTCTTGTAATAACTAATTTTTTTAACCTAACTAAAGTAAACTTTAGTTGAGATGATTAAGATTTTGCAATCTCCTGTGTGAAACTAACTAAGAATAGTATTTGAATTGCGGGGGCATGGTGAAAAGTTCTTTTCTTGATCCATATATGGCACTACTAAATACGAAATTGTTGTTTTATGTTACATGACGTAAATCGCAATATACTTGCACCTTCATTATCAACAGTAATAAAATGAAGAAGTTTTCTGTTATAACCATATAAAAAAGACACTACAGGCAATCTACGTCACAAAAAATATGCTACAACTTTCGACAAAGTATAGTGAGCATAAAGGCAGGCTCAATGTTTAAAAAAAATGCATTTTTATTATCATACAGACAACTTTTCGCATTGCCCTCGTAATACTTGTAATTATCCTCTTGTTCTACATGTTTATTTTTATTCAGCGAGGCCGGTCGCATCCTATGTCCACTATGCACGAAACGCAACTGGGCCCAACTAGATAACGACCTCTGGAGACTAGAAAAATGGTTACAAGTTGCCGAAGGTACCCAGAAGACTCAAAAGAACCCACCATCTAACATAGAATACCTGGAAGACGTTATCCAAGACCACCGAGAGTTCCTTCTTGACCTGGATAGCCACAAGAGCATCGTGAGATCGTTGAACATCGTAGGAACTCACTTGGCCGATCACAGTGAAGATACCAGCAAGGCTGACGAGTTGAGGGTGAGGTTGGAGACTGACAATAGAAGATGGGACGTGATTTGCCATCATGCCACGGCATGGCAAGTACAACTTCAGAGAGCATTAATGAATGTGAGTATATTTTTAAACTGTTTTTTACTTATGCCAAAAAAGACCGGTTCATGATAAGGTCAATTCTAAATATCTATAGCAGAGAAATGTATAGTTAAAGGGGCATGCAATATTAAAAAGTATTAGGACAAATTATTTGTTTAAAATGAAGTTACTGATTGTAATCACAGCTTTTTAAAATGTAAATATAACAAGCATTCATAGAACGAAGGTTGATCTTCACCCTCGATTAATTTGTTTCTGATCCTAGAGATGGCTCTACTTCGGCATGGTGCTCTGGTAATTTTTTTAACTTAATTGTAGATTTCTACATGATGACTCTGTAATATTTTTTAAACCCTAACATAAATTGCAGTTTTCTATCATTATATCCATTGGCTGAGTTGCCAAGTTGCGAAGACAGTAATTTTATCAAATACGCTATAACTTATACTAGTAGACCAACTAAGTAAAGATATCTTTAACACCATCTTTATGTATAATCATTTACTGCTCTCCTGTGTCAGTCGGAATATAATATACCGAATAAACATTCATTATCTAAACAATAATATTTTACTGGGAAATAACAGAAATGTTATTTAAAACAGTCTCTATGGATTAATTAATTTTACTATGTCTTCCTCTTCGGTTATATTTGTATTTCTTATTTTATGCTTCATTAGTCTTTTATATTCTCGTTGTTCTGGCTTTATTGGTCTGTTTATTCTTATAATTTTTCTTTTAGTTCTTACTTTTTTTATCTTTTTTCGTAAGACACATTACTTCCGCTCCGTATGCTATCATCAGTCTAATTGCTGCTCTATATATTTTGTCTGTTTTTTTTTTATTTTTAAGTAGTGGGTGATATTTCCAAAACACCCCGTTCTTCTCCCGCCTTGTGTGCGTGGTAGTCATACGTTGGATGTATGATTTGGAGTGGTTAATGCTATTTAGTTATCACGGTTCTATTTGGTCTATTTAGTTCTTCAGTTTCCGTATTCTACGATTTTATAACGCCAAATCAGAACTATGTGAATGGTGGTATTGCGAGTGTTTATTGCTTTTACTGTGTGCTTGGAATTAAGTTTGCTTTTGAGTATTATCATTATTAATAGTAAAATAATTAACTAAAAACGCCTAAATAGGTCTTTTATAGATATATTACTTATAGAGTGTAAATTTTATATCGTACTTTCAAAATAAAAGTTGCAGTATTTACTATTCTGTAACTCTGTAAGTTTCAGCATGACTAGTTCAAAATTCAAACCGAAAACATTCCTATTAATTTTGATAATATGCCAAAGTGTTGTACATCGAGCAAAAAACAAAAGAGGGAATCTAATCCTTATGAAAAGGAGACCAAAAAAGTGGCCTCTGATGGCGGACATATCCGGAAATGCGAATGCGCCAAATTTAAATTTTCCAACACTTATTAACAGTAGCTATATAATATTTTTCAGAATGTGTCTTAGACGAAAAAGTTTTAATTAATTATTAACGATAATAGTCTAAAATGCGACACAATTGTTAAAAAACTTCAATATAAATAAGATTTCATGTGACATTTGGGACAAACAATAACATAACCCAACTAAATTTGATGTCAAACAAGGAGAGAGACTCTCTTTCCTTGTTTAATGTGGCCTCTAAAGATCGCACTTCCTGTCTAACAATATTTTTTGCCCCCACTACCTTTACATTCCCTCTTTTGTCTTTTTGATCGATGGTGTTGTACAAAGTAATTGATGTGGCAACCCTGTTAGTATGACGTTTCGTTTGAAGCGTTTCGAAGCCGAACGTAATGCTATCTAGCGATGATAAATACTACCATTGCTTCAGATGGAGCCATCTCCCAACGTTACAATTTGAAAGCGGCAGTTCAAGACATAATTTTTGTTTAACGAGATTTTTCATATGTTTAGGAAAAAATATTTAACGTTTTTTTGCAAATATTTTCCACTTTTACAGTTTTATAATGTTGTTATTAAAAAATTCTTCGGTTTTTTACCGGTAGCTTTATTATAAGCTGAAACATATTATTTTTTCTTATTGCGAAAAACCTGTAAATTCAAAAATTTTCAAAAAATTCATAAGTATTTCTTATAAGTATATCTTGATGCTGTAAAAAAATTAACAAAATCCTATGTTTGGTTTTCCCGCTTTATACTTGGAAAAAATTAGTTTTTTTGAGTTTTTTCAAAAACGAAAACATGAAGTTTGCTTAAAAGTTGTCAAAATACTCTAGTCATGACATATACGTTCTCAGATTTTTTCAAATTTTTTGAATTTGGAGTTTGTCTTTTGGGGGGTGCAGATTAACCTTAAAATTTGCTTATAAGTATAAAATGTATGTCTTTATAAGCTTCTTTTGTTAGAAAAGAGAATAGATATTCAGGTTATTGTATGAGAATATACTGCGAGAAAAGATAGAGCAAGCGATAAAAGGCAAAATCGGGGAAAATCTGACAGGCTTCATGGCAGGAAGATCATGCATAGACCACATATACACTGGAATAACTGTTGGAAAAGAAAAAAGCAAAAAATTGAGATATAAATTTGGCATTTGTGGACCTGAGAACGGCGTATGACTGTACCAAGGACAGAACTACAGACGGAACTCACAGAAGCTACAAAAGTGCTTCTCTATAAAGAAAATAAAGTGTCATTAAAATGGGAATAAGAATCATATGAACCTTCACCACAACAAAAGGGCTCCTGCGGGAACAAAAACTACAGGAAAATATACCAAGGCTGGCCTAGATATTTACCTCGCGAAAAGAGAGTACCCATGTGAAGAAGACGTAGAAGATCTATAGATTGACGACATCGTAATAATCAAAAGAAAGGATAAATTCAAAGACTTGGGGTTTATATTCACGAAAAAGGAAACAACATAGGAAGAAATTAAGGAAAGATTAGGAGAAACAAGAACAGCAATCTGACAACCTAACTCAGTATGGTGGGATAGACACTTAAATATGAATACAAAAACACAAATGCCTGCGAAGATGCTGCAGAGTAATGGATAGGAGAAGTAATGACGAAATAAAGCGAAGAACATCAATAGAAACGGACATACTAACAGATATAGAACAAAAAAGACTGAAGTGGTATGGACATGTAAGAAGAACTAGCAACAGCAGATGGATAAAAATAATAACCGAATGGAACCTCATAGGAATGAGGAAAAGTGGACCAACCCGTAGATCCTGGAGGAACAAAGTAGACTACGTCATGAGTAAGAGAGGCCTAAACGATGGAGAATGGGACAACAGAGGGAGATGGAAACGGTTGAGCGAGGAAGTGTTCAAAATGTCCTCCGTTAATTCGACAGTATCCTAAACGATGGTAGAATACATCGATTACATTTCTCCATGTTTCTCAAAAAATTAATATGGATCCATCGATAATTCTTTGCCTTCTTAGCTCTGCAACACTTACTGGTTTACTTTTATAAACTCTACTTTTCAAGCATGCCCAGTAAATTTAATCTTTAGGATTCAAATCGGGTGAACGAGGAGACCATTCAATATTACCAATCCATTGTTCGGGAAATGTATAAATTCTCTAAATAACTCTGGAACATTCACACCAAAATTAACTCAATCTCCGTCTTGCTGATACTATATGTCATTAAAATTGGCTCTAAACTTATTCTTTAGGTCAGGTACAATTTCTAAGTAGCATTTCATACATTCAGTAATTTAAAAATCTCATAAAGGTCAAAAGATGAAATCTAAAATTTCATATTATGTATTAAATCCTGTTATTTTGTTTTTAGAACCAACAATTCCACAGTATCATCTCGGAACTTTGTATTTGGCTGGAGAAAAACGAGAAGAAGATCCGAGCCTCAGAACCAGTGGATCTGACAGCGCCCCACGACATCATAGAAGCCAAATACCAACGTTTCCTAGATCTTCGCGTGGAGCTAGAAAGATGCGAACCCAGAGTTCTTAGCCTTCAAGAAGCAGCCAACCAGCTGTTCAGAGAAGAAGCTCCCGAAGGTTCCAGCACGATTTACAGGAGATTGACCGAGCTACGTTTGAAACTTCAATCGTTGATCAAACTTACAGGGGTATATACTCTTAAATTAGGCGCTGTTTTAGGAAGGGATCCCAACGCGATAGGTTACTCGGCCTCTTCTGCTTCTACCTCTGGTTTACCGTTACAATCTCTCAACTATGATGTAAGTTTAATGGAACGTTGTACCATTTTATAAAACCGTAGCTCTGTTTAGTATAAAACATTGTTTGTTGTAGTAAGTAACGAGTGTTAAGTTAATTTGTGCCATGTTAAAAAATTGTTATAAGTTTTGTCCTACGAAAGTCCACCTTGACACTTTAAACAAAGGAGGGACTCTCGTTAGAGATAGAGTAGATTTTAAATGTGATTATTATTTTTTTGAGTAGCACTATTAGTATATTAATTGTTTAGAGTAACAATTATAAAGCACTGTTTCATTTTTTCCTTTGCGTTTTGGACAGCTTTTGGACCATCCCAGTCAAGATCGACCTGACGCCTCCTCAGCAGATGCAGCCGCCTACAAGTAAATATTTTTTTATTTTTTGTATTTCTAAAGTTGGTAACTGGATTTTTACAGTAAGATGGATCAAAGTTATATATACAATAGATCACGCAATAAATATAATTTCTGACAATATATGAGTGCACGATATGCAAAACTCGCTTAATGCATGTAAAGTCAATTTGAGAAAAGTGCAAAAAACGTTTTTTGCATTATATTTGTTAATAACCAATTAATGATGTTAGCGTGTCTTTAGAACATACACCTCTAATAGTTCTTAACATATTTTTAAAAAATAGTGCAGATTTTTTAAATAAATGAAGAAAAAATAATGCTTTAGCGAGTTTTGCACCAAAAAATGTTACATCAATAGTTTGGAACAAATTTCATTCACAAAGAAATTAAACAGTTATTTACATATTACATTAAATTGGTATATTAATATCGCAAGGTTTTAAACCACTGCAGCCAGCTTCAACATAGTTTACAGAAGTCTGGTTTTCCATCCTTCGAGGGTTAACAAGATTTTCTTTAAAGAAAACCAAATCAGGATTTTCTTCCCAGGCGTTTCCATAATGTTTTTTGAGAAGAGAAATTATTGTCGATTTATCGCCTTTGAGTTTGCAGCCAATAGGAAGTTGAGTAGGATTGATACGTGTCAATTTTATTCCTCTATTAATAACAGACTTGGCTTCACCGACGTCAACACAATAATTGAGCTCACCTCGTATTAGTGCATTGGTTTTCCCTTTAGTAAGCACAAAGCTTTTAGCCTTATTAAACTGAAAGTACCATGAGGATGGTGCTTTGGTGTTTACTTGTGCTTCATTCTTCCAGTCATACACCTGCCAATCTAAACACAATTTTCTAATTGTCGACTTAGTTGCTGTAATATCTTCGTAGTCAGAAATTTTTAAAATAATTGATTTTTTTTACCTCTCTTTCAATCATTCCGAAAAAAATGGTCTGTATGTTTGGGGAGCTTTCGTCATCAACCAAACAGAAAGCATGGCCACCATTATAATATTCTTATTTTGCCCCCCCCCCCCCCCCCCCAATCCATCAGCAAATAAACGAATTGTATCGATTTCATTGGGAAAGTTAAACTTATTCAGTACATCCCAAACAGGTGAAGCTATCGAATTAGAATTTTTGGGAAAATCCACCTCCGTCCAAACATAAGAATAAACATTTTCTGGAACCAACTGTGCTGCTGATGATCCATTGAATTACCTTAAAGTTGTAATAGTAAATTTGTTGACTAAAATAAACTAGCTTGATCCGGAAGCTTAGACAAAGACAAATTTTTCTGACAATCAAGCGAAAAAACCGCAATGCCTTTGCTTTAAGTCTATGTATCCGTTGCTCGGTGATAATAATTTGCTTTTCTGAACTAGAAATATTTTTGTTTTTTAACTTTTTCTTAGATCTCAAGCTGGTTGAGCATAAATCAGTTTTTGGGGTGCCAAATCTGATGTTGCAATTAGAATTTATGTACCTATCTCCTAAAAAATGCCAATTTAACATGTAGTTGGTTATCGCGAACTTTAGATTCGTATATTTTCCATAATTTTGTAAAATTAAGTTTACATGGTAAATAAACACGAGTACTGATTTTACTTCTACAGTAATGGCTCTCTATGCATTGGAGAGATTCAATGAAATGTTTTATTGCTAACTTTTTATCATCGTTTTTACTAAGGATGCAATCACCTCCTCTTGTTTCTCGTGGTGTATTCCTTTTAAAACAAAGTTTTTTATGACTGTCTCAAACCGATCTCTACTAAGGGATGTGATTTTTAAGAATGCCGTCTTACAAACACGGATTTTTTAGCAGAAGTGGGTTACATAATACAAAATGGATATTTTTTCCTTTTCCACTTTTGATCTTTTGCACTTCTGGCCTTCACAAATTGCAATTATAAAACTATCTTGTCTACATTTTTCCTTAGAAGCATACAGTTTTCTATGAAAATCTTGATTTTCGCTCATTGTTAAAGTGGCACAATAGTACGACTTACCTGGCTGACCGTTATGTCCACAGGTCGGGTACTCCGGTAAATGTGTCGGAGTGTGCCTAAAATAACACAGTTTTAAAAAAATATTCTAACAAATTGATATCGTTTGTATTACCTTAATCTTTTGAGCTTTTGTCTTTTACTTTCCGTTCTGCACATGTTCTTTGGAATAGGTTGTATTGCAGAAATAACACTATCATTGGCTGCAGAAATTTCACTGTCTATTTGCATTTTAATAATTTTAAAAACGGGAAACTTCAAGTTAAACAAACAATTCAGAATACCGCTAAAACGCGATTGAGTCAAACGGTCAAACCACACCAGGAAACAAACAACATGCATGATGCCATTCCCTAACCACGTGAGTAAAATCCGATGCTGTTATTGAACGCCGTACAAATAGAGTTTTGCATCGCACGCATCAATGCATAAAAGCGAGTTTTGCCTCAAGTCATGATTTTTGGGACTGATTTTCGTGTGTTAAAAATCTAGTTTTGCTCCAAATACTTGTGTAAAATAATAATTAAATATTTTACGAACAAGATGGCGTGCTTAACTACTTTTTTCAATTTTTGTCGATTAGCGAGTTTTGCATCTCGTGCAATCATATGATGTTGATTAAATTGACATAAATTATCAGCCACCGAGTGTTGCAGTGAGCAAATTCATAAAAGTCACAAATTAAAATATTGAAAATAAAGAAAAAATTTTATTTTTAGTAAAGTTTGAAGAACTATGAAATAACCGAGAATGTTATTATAAAAATCTACTATGTACTATAAAAATCCATTTATCTACCAGCTTATTATTTGCATGAAATCTTTCATTTTACACATCACAACAGTAACATATCTTTTATATTAAATAAAACATTTTCTATCATTCATTTCTACAACTGAAATTTTAATTTATATATTAAAAAATGTCAATTGTCTCAGTACGTGTCCAAACATGAGGGAAACTATTAGGAATAACTTGCCCTAGTAGAAGTTATTCAACCTGTAATCTACGTCTAAAAATGATGGGTCCCAGCGTTCATTCGTCTCTTTCTCTCCGAACACCTACATGTATCTGCGCTATACCCTGTTTTTTAACCAGGAGAAGTAAACCAAAAAGACAGATTCACATCCAAGAAGTTACTAGAAAAGTCACCAAATACATCTTTTTTTGTTGATTATCTCGGCCTTGCGGTACTTGAGTAATCAATATTGGACAACCTTACATGTCAATTCTAATCTAACTTTGTTTATTTATGTTTGAATAATAATTTTTTTCAATTCACTTCCAATATATTATATTATAATTATTACAATAAAAAAAGGACGGTTTTCACATTGGGTCCCATGTATATATATTTAAATATCGAGTGATCCAGTTTTATAGATCTCTTGAGTCTATGGTATTTAATTATAATTTAGAGAATATTTTCATCCAGAGAGTCAATAATGTTACAGATATGTTCGGCGCCAGGACTGTGACGAGACGTGACTGATGTGTCCCGTCACAGTCTCGGCGCCGAACCGGTCCTGTTTGGTCACAGAACTATTAACTATCTGACAGCTGGAAACTGTTCGTCAACTGATGAATGTGAATGACGGCGCCGTATTTCTATTAAAGAATATTTTGTATGACGGATTGTTCGGTTCGGCGCCACGACTGTGACGAGACGTGACTGATGTGTCTGAATCGACCTTTAGACGGTCAAATATTTGACCAAACCAAAAAATTGACAGCATATTACGTCACAACCTGAGTTTGATCACAAATCCTCTAAAAAATTGAAGATCTATCATTTTCATATCAACATGATGAAATTAATTTTCCTTTTTTTCTTTGGTTGACAGTGTGAGGTTTATTTGTCTTCTACTACTACTACTACTATCGGTTTACAGCGTTCTCCGACTCATAACCGCCATTCTTCTCTATTTAGCCATAGGCCTGGAGGGATTTCTCTTTCCTCTAGTTCTTTTTCAATTCCCTCTCTCCAGCTTCTTCTCGGCCTTCCTCTTTTCCTTCTCCCTTGTGGTGTCCACGTCAAATCTGTTTTGGAATCCTGTCATCTGACATTCTCTGTACATGGCCGTACCATATTAACTGTTTTGTTTTTATGTCATCAACTATTGTATGCTTGACTCCCATAATTTCTCGTATTCTCTCATTTGGTATCCGATCTCTTCTTGATTTTCCTGCTGCTCTTCTCCAGAAGTCCATTTCTGTTGCTAGTTTCTCTGTTCTTTGTTTCAGTGGCCAAACTTCACTGCTATATGTGATTACACTTTTAAGTATAGTTAAAGTAAAGTTAAAGTAGAAGTGTGAGAACTAAATTTCTTAAGCTGGATTTATAGTTTGACGGACTGTAGACGCAGACGTACTGGAAAAAGATCAACATAGACTTTTGTGTACTCCTATTTATAAATGAACGTAAACGCAAGACGGGGCGTAAGCGAAATGCACTGCAACGGAAGAGTTGGTCAACTTTCAACTTTTACAGTGCGTTTCTTACGTCTGACCAATCAAAAGAAAGAATGGGTTATGTTCATTGCACCAATATTGAAATATGCCAAAAATTGATCTGGATCTTCTGTCTTCATCTTTAAAAAATAATTATAAGCATTCTCTATTTTTCTATTACGGTTTATTGGTCTTGTTTTATAACGTCTTGGTCGCCTTATTATTGTCCTTCTAGTTTTTTGCAATGCTACTGCACACAGCACAGCAGCAATCCTACAGCGCCAAGGAGCATACCTTCGTATATTTCACAATCCATTCTAACACGCAAAAAGGATAAAAAAAAATATTATAATAAACAATAGTATAAACACACACCCTTTTTTATTATGAATTCTGATTCCTATAATTGTATAATTTATAGGTTATATTGAATGTTGTTAGTCACCAATTCTTGTCTTTACTCATGCGCAAAAATTCCACTACGTCCATTTATAAATTGAAAAAATATTTACAGTCCGTTTCTTACGTCTCCAGTGCGTCTACGTCTACAGTACGTCAAACTATAAATCCATCATTAGATTTGAACATATTCCAGAGAACGGCAAGTTGCAGGATGATATTTGAACCTCTATAATCGAATACGAAAGCTGTTGTCAATTTTTTTCTATCATTAAGAAAATTACAGGTAAAAAATGGTAAAAACACAAAACAAAAATCTTCCATTCCCAGATACGTGGTTTTCATTAAGAATATCCGGATTTACTGTATTTGACTCATAATGAGTTTTAGTTGGTTTTTAGTTTTGGCAAGTTCTGTACAGTAATGATGACCAAAAAAAAATATACATGGACAGGCGTCTTAATAGTATTGACAGCAGATTATTGATGAAAATTCAAATACAGTAATATTTTTATTTCTAATATTAATAATTAATTTTTTTTTGTTGCATTGTCATTTCGAGGTTAGAATTTTTGTTTATAACCTTCAAAAATAATGTCAACATCTGTCATTCTCTGGAAGTGATATTTTTGTAAAGACTTTATACTTTGTTCTTGGAGTATCATCATCATCATCTTTGGCTCGACAATCCTCTGTGAATCTTGGCCTGCTCTAAGATTCGTCGCCATTCTGTTCGGTTTTTGGCAACATGTTGCCATCTTCTGATGTTTATTATTCGTTTAATATTAAGTCGGTTTCTACTCCATCTAACCACCTAATTCGCGGTCGGCCTTTGCTTCTTTTTCCTACAGGTGTTCCTGTGGTTAGCTTTTTAGCAATTTTATTTTCTGGCATTCGTATTATGTTCTTGGAGTATAGTTGCATTTAATTGATTTTTAGTGCTGATCTGTTGCTTTTGCAATATTGTTGAAGTCTTTAGGGTGTTTTCTCTCCAATAATGATGTCATAAACGTCTTTATACCCATTCTAGAATTATATATATATATATATATATATATATATATATATATATATATATATATATATATATATATAGTTATCAACAGACAATATTATATTTGGATAAAAGTATTAAATTATTTTTTGGCGTTGATTAAGTAAACTGACTTGTTTATTGGATATAGATGCATTCAACAGTATTGTACACTCCACTGAACTTACACGAATCATCATAAAGCTGGATTTATAGTTTGACGGACTGTAGACGCAGACGCACTGGAAAAAGATCAACATAGACTTTTGTGTACTCCTATTTATAAATGAACGTAAACGCAAGACGGGGCGTAAGCGAAATGCACTGCAACGGAAGAGTTGGTCAACTTTCAACTTTTACAGTGCGTTTCTTACGTCTGACCAATCAAAAGAAAGAATGGGTTATGTTCATTGCACCAATATTGAAATATGCCAAAAATTGATCTGGATCTTCTGTCTTCATCTTTAAAAAATAATTATAAGCATTCTCTATTTTTCTATTACGGTTTATTGGTCTTGTTTTATAACGTCTTGGTCGCCTTATTATTGTCCTTCTAGTTTTTTGCGATGCTACTGCACACAGCACAGCAGCAATCCTACAGCGCCAAGGAGCATACCTTCGTATATTTTACAATCCATTCTAACACGCAAAAAGGATAAAAAAAATATTATAATAAACAATAGTATAAACACACACTCTTTGTTTATTATGAATTCTGATTCCTATAATTGTATAATTTATAGGTTATATTGAATGTTGTGGGTCACCAATTCTTGTCTTTACTCATGCGCAAAAATTCCACTACGTCCATTTATAAATTGAAAAAATATTTACAGTCCGTTTCTTACGTCTCCAGTGCGTCTACGTCTCATCGAGCAAAAAGACAATAGAGGGAATGTAAAGGTAGTGGGAGCAAACATATTGTTAGACAGGAAGTGCGATCTTTAGAGGCCACATTAAACAAGGAAAGAGAGTCTCTCTCCTTGTTTGACATCAAATTTAATTGGGTTATGTTATTGTTTGTCCCAAATGTCACATGAAATCTTATTTATATTGAAGTTTTTTAACAATTGTGTCGCATTTTAGACTCTTATCATTAATAATTAATTAAAACTTTCTCGTCTAAGACACATTCTGCGAAATATTATATAGCTACTGTTGATAAGTGTCGGAAAATTTAAATTTGGCGCATTCGCATTTCCGGATATGTCCGCCATCAGAGGCCACTTTTTTGGTCTCCTTTTCATAAGGATTAGATTCCCTCTTTTGTCTTATTGCTCGATGCTACGTCTACAGTACGTCAAACTATAAATCCAGCTTAAGTGTCCAAGGAAATGACTGAACGTGTTGTCGAACATTAACAAATGCATTATACATATTCCTTACCTAAAAAGAACATTGATATTTAAAAAAATTATCACTTAACAGCTTCTAAATTTTACTAATACTTACTAAACCTTTACTTTAGCAGTTCGTACCGTGGAAGATTGGCTAGAAAAAATTATATTTTCTGTTTCAGTGGTTCCGATGATGAATCCGAAATAAACACTTCAGTCTTGCGACGAGGATGCCGATTCTTGGGTAGAGTGGTACGAGCATCCGTACCCATCCAAGCAGTAATGCTGCTGATGCTGGGCGCTGCATCTTTAGTTCCTTTTTCCGAAGATGACTATGCATGTTCACTTGTAAACTCCATAGCAAACAGTCTTACGCCGACTCTGAGGTACGACAACGGTCCACCGCCTATTTAGACGTGTAACACAGCCCGAAGTTAACAAAGATCAGTAGTTTTGGACTCCTTTTTTAATGTCCTAATGGTCTGTGATAAATTGGTTGATTGTAGAAAGCGACGAATTCGAGAAAACGTAACTGCTGAAGGAGAATAAAACTACTGATAGATGCTGTGCGTTACGAAATCCATTCCAATGATTTAATTGAAGATTTTAATACACCAACTACTTCACTCGTGTTTTAGAATCTTTAACAGTTTTTTATATTTGTTTTATATTGAACATATATTTGTAAATATGTGACTTATCTCTGATACCGTCGATTGAACACGATTTTGACAATTTTGTAATATTCTATAAATAATTAGGATTAGTTTTTTTGTATCGTTATCAAATGGATCATTCACTATATATCTGTATATTGGGGAAACTTGCACAAAATGTGTGAACAGAATTAATATATTTTATATGTTGTTTTTTTTTTAATTTTAATGTTGGTTGTGAAAATTAAAGGTTGTAACTTAAAGAAGTGGAACACTTTTGGTTACATATCCGTTAATTTTATTGTGATGACCGTCTTGGTGAGTCTGTGAGAACTTAGAAGACCTCTCCACTTTTAAGTTTTTCGAAAAATATAGAATACTCAGTGCAATTCTTCTCTCCAAATTGCACACAACAATATTTTGGCTCAGTGAAGACGGCGAAATGCCTTGAAATTTGTTTTTATTTAATAATTTTTATTGCCGCTTTTGCTAATTTAATTTTTTGACTACATGCTGTAATTTTATTAACTAAGGTAAACATTGCTTTCAATTGTATTGATGCTTTAAAATGTGTTTAGAAAACCCGTATATTAAAAAATAGGATTGTTTTTGCTATAAACATTTATATATTTATTTGGCATCTCAGTATAATATATCTACAATGTTCAGTTAAAAATAAAATTTAAAATAATCGCTGTATTTTTATTATACTTAACCCTATTCCTTAGTCCAGATCTGTAGCTAAATTGGAGAGTGTTCTGCAATAATAGTCTAAGCCACATATGTATAGTTTTGAGTAAATGAGCATAATGTATCTACCTACTTTAAAAAATTAACTGATAGAAAATAAGGCTTTATTTTCACATTTTTATATTTTAATAATTACAGGCTACCTTAAAAAACGTACAAAAGCAAAATAAGTAATAACAGTTTTTTGCAAAAATAACTTAAAGCGGCTTAGACGGTTTTTGCAAAATGGTAAAAATATAAGTTCGTCATTTTGCAATAACCGTCTATCCCTCCAAAATAATAAATACACAGAAAAAACTTCGAAACCGAGTTCATTACAAATAGTAAGTACCTGTTACTGTTTAATTTCTACTCGATTTGATCTTGGTCAATCTCGAAATCGGGATTTAACCCAATTCCTTCCAAATCTTCTTCAAAATTTTCATAGCTGATGTTGTCCAAAAATCCATAAAAAGGCATGGCATCTTGGGGAATTAACTTAGACAAATCTTTAAGGTCCTTAATTTTTTCAGCGGACAGTGATTTGCCATTTGGCCACAAGGGAGGCAACTCTACATTCTTTAAAACAGGTTTTCGACCTTTACCTGATTTTTTAATATTTACCTCCGAAAATTGTTGATCTCTCACATGTTTTTTCATGTACAAAATTGTGGGATTTTCCTTTGTAATATGTATTACATGTGTTTTTAGCCAATTAATAACATCCTTATTTATATCTGTTTTGCAATTTGTTATGGATTGTAGCAAAAGACTAACTGAAACCATTTCTTCAGATCTTAGACGGTTTACAACAAATTTATTTTTTACTCGGCAAGATCTCATTATTTCTATGTAATCGTTGTCAGTGTACAGTCTTTGATGAGTTTTAAGAGCGCATTCGACATCTCCGAAATGTGAATCATTAGGCAAATAGATTTCCATATCCTCTTGGTCTCTCGTTTCTTCTGCAGAATCAGTTTCCTCGGATTCAGGAAAATATTCACTGCCAGAGGACTGGTATGGCTCATAAAAATCCATTTCAACAGATATATTTTTCTGAGTGCTACAGGAACCACTTGTTTCTTGTTCTCGAGGATCAGGGGTCAAAGTTTGTTGAAATTTTGAATTCCCAGGTTCGCTAATAGCTTTCCTCTTGAAATATCCATCGTCTAAAATAAAATTAGAGTATTAGGCACTCACTTAAAACATCCAGTTTTAGTATGTTATTACGAAGTAAAAATGTTACATTTATAAAACATTTTTTACAAATGCAATAAAAAATAAATTTTGTGTTATAGTGCAGTTAGCAAAAAAGATCTAACCCCACTACACGACTAACGTAGCTAATGTTAAACTTGATATATTTATATTTCTGTATGTGCAAGTATTATAATATGGGCAGCTATCATAGATCCAAATTAGTTTATCTGCCGTTTGCTGTTAATATTAAATAAAAGGATTTAATAAATAAAAATTTATATCTACTGTGAAATTTTAAGTCAAAATAAGTTTATACGTACTTTGAATAATAAAAATTATAGTCACTGAAGTAAGAACACCAAGTTTGTGGTATTTTGCTTTAAAATATTACACCCAAATAATAACAACCTACTGCACTCGTAAAGTTTAAAACAGTATGTTGAAATATCAAACTCCTTTGTTAAAAAGGCATGTAATAATTTGCTGACCAGAATTTTCACAATCAAGCAACAGTTCCAATATGTTCGTTATATGATAATGCAATTTTTTGTCGGCATTTATGACATCAATATACGAGTAATCGCAAAACATATTATGTTACCTTTTCGGTACACTATCTGTGATAAAAGGAATTTAAAAATGTCTTTAATCAATTTCCGAGCTGACGACACAGAAAATTCACAGTTTTAAATAATATGCTTTCGTATTTTACCATTAAAGATAAGGCCTCTAGTTTGGTGCAATAATAAATTTCTTGTCTTTTAATAAGACGAGTCTAAGTCAAAATAAATATTTGTTTATTAATTTAATATTTTGCATCTGGTGCACACAATGAAAAGACCCTTACAAAGATTTGCAACAAAAGTCTAACCCACATATTTATAATGAAAACATGGGTTAGACTATTTTTACAAATTTCTGTTTTCATATTATTTGACGAAAGTAGTTTAGAACTTAGTTCACAAACGCATCCATGAGTATAAATATGGCTTATATCATTTTTGCTTGATGTAGTATGCATTATGATCGACAATTTGGCACGTCTAACCTCATTTGTAAACAAATGTGGGTTAGACGGTTGTTGCAAAACACCGTCCAATTCAGGTTGAAGAATTCTAGAGGTGCATCCACATTATGCCATGCCTTGCCGATCGGCAAAACCGATTGGTGTCCACACAATATTTGTAGTGTGTACGTAGCAGTTGTACAAGGAGCGATTAATTACAGGGACCCGATCCGTCAACTGCGCATGTGCAATCTTTGAAATGACCACAAAAGTGACAACGAGGGACAATCTCCAACTTAAAAAAATCTGAGCAAATTTATAAAACCGATTAGGAATAAAAATAGGAAATTTTACAATATTTCTTTCTACAGGTACATAATTGTTACATTCATAACTAAAATAACGTACCTAATACATGTTTATGAGTGAAGATAAGGATTATAATAAATTATTATATAAGTATTATTATAAACTTAAATTTATTTATTGTTGTTGAAAGTAAACAAAGTATTAATGAACTAAATTTAAATGACATATTACGGTTAATGGGTTAATCTTGTATGGGTTGGCAAAATCGTTGTCTTCAGGTGGATGTTTTCAAAAGTTGTCTCGTTCTAAAACGTGTTTAAAATAGTTTAATTCTTCAATACTCTTCCATAAAAAACTGAAGTAATGGCGGACATAAAACAGAGTGTTTGTATTTTTCCCACAACTTTCATAATTTCTGCAAAATAAACTTCATTAATGTAGAAGTCATTTCGGCTTGAAAAAAGCTACTGGAAATCTTCCAGACACTTATTTAAATGCACATTTTCTCCACATTGCATCGGCGTAGAAAGCTTAGACTGATTTGAGAAAATTTTACCACATTCAAAACAGTTTACTGATATATTTACTAATTACGAAAATAGGGAACTATTCAAAACAATTTTTATTTGACAATGCAAGATACCGCCTAAAATTTTCATTTGAAGGTTCGAAATATTTCGAATGCAGTCGTTTCGCACATGCGCAGTTGACGGATCGGGTCCCTGTAATTAATCGCTCCTGTTGTACAGTGTTGCGTGTCAATAAGGAGCAGGGAAGCCAGGTCTAGGGATTTTTTCCTCAGAACTGGGGAACATTGAGAATCTTTGGGGACTGGGGAAAAACTTTTTAAAAATGACTAATATCTGAGGAAATCAAACTGGATAAAATATGTTATTAAATTTAGTAAAAAATAGTTATTTTTGGAAGTGTAGTAATTATGTGAATATTGTGTGTGTGTGTTTGTCTGTTTTATTAGCACTGGTTTTAACAACCAACTGGCCAGTCAATTTGTTTTCAGTTCTCTCTTCGAGTATTTACATTTAAAATTCTTGTATTGTATTGACAGTTAAGACATCGAATGTTAGAAACTTACTAGTTTACTCTGTTTTTGCTGTTTTGTATTTTTTTTTTGTTTAATTTTTTTTATTACTACGCTAAGACATAAACCCGATTTGGCACCTCGAAGGTTTAGATCTTCTTAGTAACTTTTTTTTATTTTTTTTTTCCTGAGAAAACTGCATAAAACAAATTACACACTTGTAAGGTTTTTCTTGCTTGACTAAACTGTTTAAAACAAATGTCACACTTGTACATCTTTTCTTCAGTGCACTCTCAAATCTATTTTTAAACTACTTGCTCGAATAACCTGTTTTAAAACAAATTTTTACTTTTTAATGCTTTTCTCCAGTGTGCACTCTCAAATGGTTTTTTAACTGACCTACTTGGCTAAACTGCTTAAAACAAATTTCACACTTGTACATCTTTTCTTCAGTGTGCACTTTCAAATGTGTTTT